CCTTGATAGCAGTGTGAATGAAGAGGGGTGGATAACCTAGGCATACAGGCTAAGCTGGCCAGAGCCTAAGTGACTCTAGGGGCAAGCATCACTAGGATAATTTGAGTGGGGCCTCCTGCTTGAGAGAGGAGCAGGAAGCCTTGGCTGCTTTGGAAGAGGGAAGAGTTGTGTTTGTACACCTCACAGTGCTAACATTATTTGGTATCCAACAGTACTCTTGACAGGCTCTCAGAAACCCTAGGATGCTGCCTTGACATCCTTCTTGAGAATTACTGCCTTAGATGCTTCCAAAAATGTTGCTTATAATGCCAAACTGGTTTCTGCTTTCTTAACTGAGAGAACAAGTTGAAAGCCATTTGACATAATCTTGGCAAGCTTCAAAACAGGTATTTTCATTATTGACAGTATTCTCATAGGAAAATTACTCTGTCACATTTTAATTAGGTAAAGGAGGGAGAGAGAGGCAGGGAATACCCTATAGACCAGAAGTGTTAAAGAAATAGGGCTCCTGGAAGGGTCCAGAACTCAGAGGTGCGGCCTGCTGCCAAAATCTGGGATGCACAACCCTGTGCAGTTGCATTTCAATGGCACAGGGATGAGTGACAGCTGCATTAATCACCATGGCACCTTGCTTTGAGACACTGCCACATGCCCCACTGCTGCTCACCCCGCTGCCAGAGGTAGATCCAGATCTGGCCTGCAAGGAGCCCAGTAGTCCAGACCCAACCCAGTAACACCGTCAGCTGGTCGGCTGTGCAATTTTGACATCTGTGCTACATGATCTTACAGTGACGTACGCATTTTTGTTTTTTTTTGGCTCTCAAACAAAAATGACTGCTCCAGTGTTCATTTAGGATGCTTGCTGTTTGCAAGTTTCTGTGTTTTGACAAATATTAATGAGGCCTCTTAATTAAAAGGATGAACCCAGGCCAGCACCTTTCATCTTAATCCCATAGTTTTATATTAGCATTTGAGAACTGTCAAGATGCCTAGAACTGTCAAGAATAGGTACCAAAAATCAAAATCACATAAATTAGTAGTTCAGTTTAGAAATGAGAGGAACTGCACTTCTCAGAGGACACGATCCCCATGTTCCACCAAGGAAGTGTGTAAACTTCCTTCTCTTTCCTGCATAACCCCAGGTTCCTTAAGCTAAGAGAGGCCAACCTACAATTAAGTCATCAGGAACACTACTGCTGTACGTTTACATACATTACTTTAGTTTCCCCACTGGTATTTCTGGTGAAGATGGACTCTAGGTCACAGACATGAAAGGGAACTTAAGATGCTCTGAATTTTGGACATCAGGCATGACCAGGTGATGGCAAAGAAAGGAAATATTTCAGAAGTTGCTGACAGATGCATTCAAGCCTGACTAGACAGTGCTCAGATGCAAAGCAGAACAGAATTGGTGTGCCATCTGCTGGCATAAAGAGATAAAAATAAATACTGACCGAAGTTGGGCAAATCAAAGTGTGAGAGAATTTGGGCTGCCAAGAGACACTGGAATAGAGGAAAATATGAATAAAACACTCTCTCAAAATGACTGGGTTGTTATTAGCTAAAAGCCCATAGCCATTTCTATTGCACAGACCCTTACTATTACCAGACTTTAGGTCTTCCTTACTACTCTTATTTACTCTCTAGCTTTGTGGTTCTAATATTTTTTTGTCACGAGTAACTTGTAATTGGTATATGACTGCCAGACAGGACATTCATAAATCATATTTTTGCAGTTCTTGTAGGATCTCCCTTTATTGATTGCTTCTATAATCTAGTCACTGGGATCTGGCAGTCAGGTTCATTATCGTGAGTGTTACAGCAGTGCTTACACTCACAGACTGCGTCCAGATGAGTGCGGCCGTGCATTACGTGGTGCCACAGACACATCTGCAGTGCCATATACCGCACATTCAGCTGTTCTCTGTGCTGGAAGGTAGAGGAGGGGGGAGGGGAGAGGAGGCGCCTGGAGATCCTGGGGCCAAAAAAAACTGCAAAAAAAAATAAGTGGAGCAGCGCACGCCTCCCAGAATCGGAGCCTAACCAGCCAGAGCCATGCTCCAGCTGCCGGCCAAGCTCCGAATAGCAGGATCGCTGCTACTGCAGCCCCAGGAGGCCCCCAGGACCACCACTGCTTCTTGTCTCTGGAGAAACAAACATCCATGCTTGTGTGGACATGGCTACAAAGTACTGTACTAACCTGCCATGGTATCAAAGTAAAATCTGGGATGTAATTTTTCAGGGGCAGACTCTTCTTTACTTGTTTTAAAATCCTGATTAGGGATCTAGACAGACACAATGATTCTCAACAGAGCAAAGCTCAGCAATGTAAGAATTAAGGTTTGCAATTTTTTTGTTTCCCCAGTAGA